TACCCAATTGCAACATGCGGTAATTTCAATGCAATGTGATCGATTGAAATTATCAACTTATCAGATTGCAGCAACTGAAGAGATTAAAAAAGGAGATATCACTATAATCACAACTTATCTAATTGTTAAATATGATTTAAGAATTGTCAACTAACCATTTGAAAACCGGCAAAGTAAAAACACATTTAGCATTAGACACTTACCAGTATTGAGCCAAATGTTTACACTCTTTATGTCAACCACCTTGGACGGGCGTTTGTCCGACCGGCAAACTGCAGGTTGTTTGTCAACTATAAAATAAAACAAAAATTACCATGCATTGGAAAGTATGAAGAAAATGTGTACAATGCATTCTGTACCAAAATACACCATCAGTGATTGAGGAAGGACTCCTTCATTGATAAGCAGAAACACACTCTCAGTGAGTTTGAGTGTGATTTTAAAATTTAGGCAACTTGATTTCTGTCACCATAATCTTGTTGTGTTTAATTAATAATTGTGAAGAACAGTAACCCAATGTCGAGGTTGCGTAAATAAAAATTTACACTGTTTTTCGCTTATCATCGGTATCAACCCCAGGTATAAATAATGAACGGTCCCTTATTCACTCAATAATTTTACATGACAAAGTTAACATTTAGGACATATAAGATTAGTCCAGGCCTTAAAATATCTTTTACAGGGCCGTCAGACAAAATGTCCGGTGACGTTGAATTTGGGTCGGACATATGTCCGATGACCTTCAGTTCAGTTTTGACTCGGAAATAAGTCTGAGTGCCTACACAAATGAATAAACGGTAAATCTTGTAAAGATATTAAATACTTTGTTTCTTTCATACTTATTTCCAAGCCAAAATTAACTTGCTTTCCAGAACAGCAGTATTAAAAAAGACATCGACGACTTAAGCCCGTTTTCCACTTCACCATTTCGCTCGCCGCCCCGCGCTCGACTACGTTAAAACAACATTTCCAGTTCACCTTTTATACAATAGTACTCTGATTTTCTATATTTAACATACAAGCCTCTAGTCCTGGGCTAGGGTACATTTTGATTTACGTCGGACAAAGCTACAGTTCGGTCGGACACCAATACACTCGGGTAGGACAAACAATAAACCTCAGTTTCACTTTGGTCGGACAGAATGTCCGGTGGTTTCCTCTCTACGTCGGACAATTTCACGAATGTGTCGGACAATGTCTGGGACCGACTGATATTTTAAGGCCTGTGATTACTTTTCACATTTATGTTACCATATTTGGTTTATCATTGAATAATCCTCACATCTTTATTTTTATACCCACAGTGTTGTGTAAATTTCACTACCTATAAGATAAGATACGAATTTTAAAACCAGGAAGTTTCTTCTCCTGCAGGCAAGTGTACTTTTATACACAACACTCAATTTTAAAGTCTGCAAGATAAATAATGGCTCAAGGGCGTTGACAGAGTCGAAAACAGTGTGTGACGTTTCGAAGAGGGGAGGGTCTCCAGAGAAACGTCCATTTGACGTTTCTCGTGGACAATCTCGATATGTGACGCTTCCCTTAATCTCTAGGACAATAAATAACCTACTGTTTGATTGTTGTGTCCAGTTTATCAACGTTCAGTTTTTGCGCCAATGCTTTATTTTTCTTGATGTCCTCAACAATAGGGTTAATGGAGTGCGCAAACTCAAGTGCTGGTTTTCCCCGCTGCTCTTTATTTCCCAAAAACATACCCCAACTATGCACCGCTACAACTTCGCCGTTGTCATTTACAACCGGTGAACCTGATGCCCCCTTGCTTGTTTGACAGTTGTGAATCAACAAAAAATCCTTTCGCATTTTAAGTTTATCCCAATTATAATTGTGGGCACAAACAACTTTTTTATCCAATCCCTCGCAATGCTTAACAGGACAGTATTGTTTTGTTTTGTCCTGAACCCATTTACAGATTTCCTCTGAGCTGCTTGGCCTTGGTGTACGAAGCACCTTTCCAAACAAGTATCTCCTCGATTCGGCTTTTGGATGACCAATAACAGTGACATTGCTGTCAGACTTAGGCGAGTGCGTACAAACTTCTAAGCATTCTCTACCAGGACAGTCGCTCTGAACCTTCAATACTGCGTAGTCCAAATCAACATTGGAAATTACAGCTTCTTGCGCGACTTCAAATTCGTCGCAGCTTGGCAGGGCCTTCTCCACATAATCAAACTGAATGACTACTTTGGTTTTGCGTTGAGTTTTACGTGTGCGTTCCTCTATTGCCTTAATCACATGATAGTTAGTCATTATATAAGATACACTTCCTTCCTTGGCAAAAAGCCAGCCTGTACCAGTGTTAGTTAAACCATTGTCACAATCGTTTTTCAAAGAAATCATACCGACAGAATCCTGGCATTTATCCAGTCTTCTAAAGCTGATGCCTTTTTGTTATAAAAGAAAAAAAAAATCCACAAAATTGAACATTTTGATAGTTGCCTACAACCAAGCAAACTTACGGAGATTTCGGTTAGCAACCTTAAAGTTAAGAAACTTTGGAATAACCGAGTTCTTTTTACAATCAATCTTTGAGAAAGGTTAGATCAAGCCTCGAAGATTGTGAAAAGAACTCGGTTATTCTAAAGTTTCTTAACTTTAAGGTTGCTAACCGAAATCTCCGTAACTCGAACGCGTACTTACAATGTCAACGTAAGTTACTTAAAGCAAAGTTATGGTACTAATAATTAAAACAACAATAACAATAAAGATGGGAACAGGGATAAGGATGACAGAGTGTGATAATTCGCGTACTTACGTACCGGAAGTACGTCATATTACGGTCTGATATTTCTTTGTTTTCAACCATGCAAGTACCACGTAGGTACGTGAAACTCTTGCTATCTGCGTACTTACATTTTGCTGGTACCACATGACCTTTCCAAACCCAAAGTATTCAAAACCACAATTTAAGTTTGTATGTGCAACTCTGACATATCTTGACATGAAACATGATTGCACTGATGGGACAAAGGAACGTTGGAGTCAACTGTATGTTTGTGTAACTATGTAATTGTTCTCCTTGTTCTAACCCGTAGTTTTAGGTTACAGAATGAATACCTTTCAGAAACCTGTACTATATATGTACTTTATTTTGAAGACTAAGTACACCTTGAGTCTACGCGGCAAAAAACATAATTAGAGTGCCAGTCAGGTACGACAAGATATGGTTAACGACAACACTAAAGAGTACAATAAGGATGAGAACGAGAGTAAGGATGAGGACAGAAATAAGGAAAAGGATGAAGATGTAGACAGAAATATGGAAAAGAATAAGAATATTAGTGAAATATTAGTGATGATTATTACAGTGTCCCCCAAAAAATGCCTCCACTATATTTGATGGTATTACAACACGTTAGCTTTAGTAGAAGTTTCAGATTTTGGATGAAATAACTATCATATCGTTTTAATCCATTGCTATTTGACGAATCAAAACAACCAACCGCTTGCGTTCAAGAATCACTTAAGGTGGCAACACCAATATTCTACTTGTCCAAATATGCACATTAGATAAAATAATAGGATTTTTTGCACTATTTAAAACACGAGTAGGAGTTATGAAACGCGAGGTATGAAGTTTTTTAGCGGACAAAATATCTGAAATGTATCAATCGAGTTTATGCGCTATAAATTAATGTTATGTGCTATACATTCATGTTATGTGCAAATACATCGATGTCATAAACCGATACAACTAAAAGATAAACCGATACAACTAAAAGATAAACCGATACAACTAAAAGATGAGGAAACGGAAGTAAATACCAATAAAAGATGAGGAAACGGAAGTAAATACAAATAAAACATGAGGAAGAGCAAGTAAATCGCAAACGGAAGTTGAGCGACGCGGCAAAATTGCGCGTGCCAAGTAGTGGCGCCAAGCTGGTGATTGGTGAATACATATTGAAAAACATGGCAGAAGAGAGACAGGGCAGAATACCAAATGTTCAGGATTCTGTTCAGTCTATCTTAAGCGCGGTGACCAATTTACAGCATTCTTCGCAAACACGTGAAGAAAACGCATCACAAGGTGGTTCAGTGCAGCAGTTCACATCGTTACCCGAAGAACTGAATTCTCGTTTCCAAATACCACGTACTCAGAATTCGTGTGTACCAAATAATGCGTCTGTGCCGCAGCCAGCCTTTCAGGGATACTGAATTTTACACACGACTATCTCCTTCTGTCGCATTATATATTTTACATGCCTCCATACAAGCTTTTTAGTACAGCGAGATCATACTCCTTCAGTCCTTGAGTATGATCAAATTTTTTTACACCACAGGATATTTTACCGATACAATTTCACACACGCATCCGTCCAATTTTATGTTCCAAAAGTCTACACCTACACTTATATTTCTTAGGTTTACATTTATACATATACAAGTGGTTTCTTATTTCTTATTCTCAGGCTTATCAAATACAACATTATTTTCACATGCATAAATTGTGCCAACAACACGAGGCCATCACACTATCATGGCCTATCATATTTCACACTACATTTTTTATCTAACATTTAGGGACTATTGTGGCATAAATTTATTACTAGGACACCAATATGGTTCTCATTACCTATATCTAAACTTAAAAAGCAATGTGGTTAACTGCTCTTCTGCGACTTGTATTTTTGGCCCACCAACGAGCCAGTTTCTTTCCGCCGTACAAACGCTTTCTAGTGAAAAGCGCTCTGAGTTCCGTTCATAATTTTCAACAATAACGTCGAATTCATTTCGTATTTAAATATTTTAAGTATTTAAATGAGTACATAGTATATGTAGATTGTTGATTAAAAACTGCTCCGTTGTGTATGATTCGGTGACTCTTCTAATCTACGACAATAAAAGTCTGGCGAGTCACAATGAGTGCGACTTTGTTCAGCATTTCTTATTAAATCAACCAATTCACGAAAAAAGTTTTCTGTATTAGGAAGCCAAATGCGTGGTCCAAGAGACGCCATTGTTGTATGTCGCCGCGTCGCTCAACTTCCGTTTTTCCGATTTACTTCCGCTTCCTCATCTTTTATTGGTAGGCCTATTTACTTCCGTTTCCTCGTCTTTTATTGGTATTTACTTCCGTTTCCTCATCTTTTATTGGTATTTACTTCCGTTTCCTCGTCTTTTATTGGTATTTACTTCCGTTTCCTCATCTTTTATTGGTATTTATTTCCGTTTCCTCGTCTTTTATTGGTATTTACTTCCGTTTCCTCATCTTTTATTTGTATCGGTTTATCTTTTGGCTGTATCGGTTTATCTTTTAGTTGTATCGGTTTATGACATCGATGTATTTGCACATAACATCAATGTATAGCACATAACTTCAATTTATAGCGCATAAACTCGATTGGTACATTTCAGATATTTTGTCCGCTAAAAAACTTCATAGCGAGGCGCAGCCGAGCGTTTTATATCAAATAAAAAACAAGTGTTTTGAATAGCTTAAAATACGACTACAAAACTGAGATGCCGTCTCATTAGTATTCTTTATATAAGAATACCAACTAGGATGAACAATTATAAAATGCCACATTATATAATGCCACATGTCACATATTATGGCTGACATGATTTGCCACAAGGTTTATGAATTATTGAGTATACTTTTTACGTAATTATTTTAAGTACTATTTAAAACACGAGCAGGAGTGTTTTATCATATTTAAAATGCGAGTGCGCAGCACAAGCATTTTAGATATGAAAAAAACACGACTACAAGTGTTTTGAATAGCTCCAAACACGACTACAATAGATGCCGTTTCATTAGTATTCTTTATATAAAGAATAAGTTAACGACGAAAAGTTACAATAAAAATTCTTTAAAATCTTAACTGTTTTAATGGCTTTGCTAAAAGTTATATATTGGGCTTTCATATTTATTATGAAGAAAACTAATTAGGATGCACTTTTATATAAAGAAAACTAATGAAGATGACTTTTATCAGGTATAAAGCCTCTTATACAGTTATAAGGAGCTTTATAGTTGACATGATTTGCCAATAAGCTTATGAATTATTGAATGTTTGAAATAAAATTAAAGAATTCATATTAGTTACTTTCGATCATGTTTATCATTTGAAAGTTGCATCTCAAAATGCAATACTGTTCATGGGTCTTACAATAATAATTTTTTTGCTTTTATTCGTATGACTCTTTATCCAGGCTTTCGTCCACAAATCGGAAATTTGAGGGCATTTTCAGTTTTTAAATATTGGTGTCGCCACCTTAAGTGAATCTGTAAGGCAAACAGTTGGTTACTTTGATAAGTCAAATATCAATGGATTAAAACAACACGACAATTATTTTGTCTCGTATAAAAATTTTTGGGGCACCCTGTATATTAACTGATTCATACCTTTAATAGATCCTGTGCGATAGGAATCTCCTGTCGTTTGAGGACCTGCGAGTAATTTAAAACTACATATTACAACAAAAAACATGTCTAAAAGAGTTTTATATATGGTTTTAAATGTTCTTTCAAACGAGAAAATAAAAAATATATTGCCATTTCCCTTTAAAGAGCCGTTATAGAAATGACGCAACAGCTTAAAGTCCTGTACAAAAGAACATTTGCTTTCCACTACCAGCTTTTATGAATTATATTCTATAAAAATGCTGCAAAAAATTCTGATGAAAACACACACGGTACTTACAAAGTGTGCACAGAAATATATGGTCCTCTAAAATCGGAAACGTAAATTGCAAACTAATGTATAGTCAAAGTCTAACCGTAACCAAACAATTACCTGAGTTTGAAGCTTCACCTGAAGTTTCATTTGGCCATCCAAAGTTTGAGCTGTCTTCTTCCATAGCTGCATCGGGCACTTGAAAAGCGGAAGAAATAATTACACATAGGAGATATAAGGCTGCGCGAATTAAGATATAGACTTTGACTTCGCGTTGAATTGAGGTCTGCGTTGCTTGATCGCCTTAATCACATGATAGTTAGTCATTATATAAGATTCACTTTCTTCCTTGGCAACAAGCCAACCTGTACCTGTGTGGGTTGGTTCTTCGTCATCTTTGTTTTTCAAAGCAATCTTACCGACAGATTTACCCGAACATTGACGTGCATTGTCGTGCTACAAACATGTTCCCATCTTCTCAGACATGTTATTTTGCGCGAAAAATGTAAAATACTACGTACAGTAAAACCCCGCATATATAAGAACCTAGAATTTAAGAACCTGTTAGGCTGAAATATTTTATTTAGACCCCCTTAAATAAGAACCTGTTCTGGCTAGAATTTCAAAACAGATTCTTATATTATCAAATAGAGTCAAAATTAAGTCATAAGTTACAATCAGTGTACCTTTAAGGAGGCTCCCTACAGTTTCCAATATATGTCAATCTTATATACCGGACAATTAGCCATGGTGACCTACCTTTTTTATTGCAGAAAATACATTGTTATGAGGTTTTGAATATTTTTTGAAAGTTATTTGAAAATCGCCAGTGTAGTTTTCAAGAAACTGAATTTCAGCCTTTAAGACTGCATTTTAGCCTTTGAAAAGGCTGAAATTCAGTTTCTCGAAAACTACACTGGCGATTTTCAAATAACTTTCAAAAAAGATTCAAAACTTCATAAGAATGTATTTTCTGCAATAAAAAAGGTAGGTCACTGTGGTTATTTGTCCGCTAAGACGGCTTTTTTGGTTGATAACTTGATATAGGCCATATAGATGGTGACGTCATGTTGTCATGGTAACATGAAAAGTAGCGATTGTGGGTTACAATCACTCTTTTATATAAAAGGAAACAATGGCTTGTGCAAAAAATCAGTTTTTTTAAGATTCAAATTAATTAAATAGGTTTTAGTTTAAAACATTGACATATATTGGAAACTGTAGGGAGCCTCTTTAAATCCAACACACAAAACTAATATAGTATTCTGAACTTCGTCTTCGGATTGACATCAAACTATAGTGTAGTACATTTTGAGGTCGTCATATTGCAGACGTTTATATTATTATTATTAATTTATTTCGCCCAATTTTCCAAAGTACAATAAAATTTAACTATTTACATTTTTATAATCTATACGTAGGGCTAGAGATCTTTTAGAAACCCTTTTGGGCTTTTATTTTAAGACACCTACCTAGTTATAACAAAACTTTTTTTTTACTTGGTATAATTTCATGATGTCATAAAAATAGTACATAATATAATAACGAAAATATATACAATCGTGAGAGTGTTTAAAGGAAAGTTAGTCTATTTACAAGATTTTTCAGATTTTTTAAACTTTATACATTAAGATAGGATGATTAATTAGCTGATTGGTGTGCAGGGGTGGAAAAAATAGGCGAGCACGCGAGCACTGCTCGCAGGAAATGTTAAACCGCTGCAGGAAATTCGTTTGAATGAAGATTTGCTATTGAAAATTTGAAGGAAACCTTAACACCCATGTCCCACTATGGGCCAACAACATATGGTTTACAGACATTATTCCTTGTATTCAAAACCATGGTCAGCTAGAACACTATATGATGAGCTCATGTAGATTTAGCACAAAAATACTCCGTTGGTCTGCAGGAAATTTTTGTCTCCAGGTTGTGCTCCCAGGAAGAAAATTCTTTTTTCCTGCCCTGTTGGTGTGATATAAAGTATGTTTTCACATATTTTTTTTGAAAACCATATATGATCCAATATTTTTTAAGTCCGTCTTAAATTATTCCAAACGTCAATACCTTTACTAACAACAGATTGTTTTCTATAGTTTGTTCTTGTATAAACTTTATGCAATTTTTTTGAATTTCGCGTGCAATGTTCATGAATGTTTGAATTTTTTATGAGGTAGCCATTAAAAATGTCGGGTAAATCATTAGTACAGTTGCAACGGTACATAAATAAGCTGGTAAGGTAATCGTTAATTTTGAAAATATCTAATATTTTCAAATCATTAAATAGCGGTTTTGTATGTTCTGTGTATGATTTAAATTTCATTAATCGAATAATCTTGTTTTGAATTCTGAAAAGCTTTTCAATTTTCGAAGGGTATGTATTACCCCAAGCTAAATTACCATATGTAAGGTATGGATAAATTAAAGCATAATAGGGTAATTTTATAGTGTTCAAGTTCGTAAAATGTCGCAATTTTGAAATTAGTCCAGTAAACTTGACAATAGTTTTACATATATAGAATCAATATGATTTTTCCACGTTAAATTTTCATCAATTAGTACACCCAAAAATTTTGTATAAGAGACCTTTTGGATCAATTCATTTCTTATTTTTATTGTAATATTATTATGAGATTCCAATTTTTTATTTTTTGATTTGAAAAGAATTAATTTCGTTTTAGAAACGTTAATAGACACTTCCCGAATTTGCTTGAGTGCACATGAAACAATAGCTTGGAATCGAGGCGGACAATGTAATCCATTGGAAAACTATACTTATTTCCAATGGATTACATTGTCCGCCTCGATTCCAAGCTATTGTTTCATGTGCACTCAAGCAAATTCGGGAAGTGTCTATTGGTAATTTATTAGCATTAAGCCAATTCATAATTTTATTCGTTTCTTCTTGCATTATATTCGTTAAAAAGTTTAAGTAAGAATTTGAATAAAAAGCATTTGCGTCATCTGCATACAAGACAAATGAGATAACATTACTACAATTTTCAATATCATTGATATATAACAAAAAGAGCAAAGGTGCAAGTATTGATCCTTGAGGAACACCAGTAGTAATAGTCAAAGCGGAATGGCTTATCTGTTTTTGGCGACAAAATCAACTTTTACTGAGAACGTATTTGAATATTTTTTCCACAGAGACCACTCATGTGTAAAACAAATTAACTAGGAAAAAATATAGCTTTCGAAGGGCAAAAGTTTTAAATTATCAAAATATGTTGGACACAAGTCAACTCACTTTCAAGAACAAATAAAAGATGTCAAAAAGTTCAACTGTACTTTTTAAATAGACAAAATAGACCATTTACTGTTACTATTAAATTACTGTGTGGGAAAATGAGAACAAAAAGCACCAAATTCTTTAAAAATGATTTTTTTGCTATCGAACAGCGTTTTCCCAAAACTTTTATCTGAATAACACTTGCTGACTTGCCTGAATAAAATAAAAGCTGTCAAAAGACTCAATTATGCTTGTCAAATAAACAAAAACGACCACTTACTATTGCTATCGACAATTTGTGTCTGAAAATGAGAATATATAAGGGCGCCAATTCTTTTAAAAAATACATTTTTAACCTTTCGAACGGCGTTTCCCTTATACTCTTACCTGAAAATTTAAGCAATGACAATTGCCAGAACACTCTGCGTGGCGCGAGAAAATGACGCATGCAAGCAGACAAAACTCGTGTGACCGCAAAGTTTGTATGATATACTTTGTGCTTTAGAGTACCAGTCAGGTACGAATTATCGCACACTGGATGAAAAGATAAAAATAGCAAAGAGAAAAAGAACGATATGGTTAACGATAATACTAAAGATCACAATAAGGATGAGGATAAGAACGAGAATAAGACACACACACACATACAAACGCAGATAAAAATATAACTTCCTGGCGGAGGTAATAATAGTGATGATTATTATATTAACTGATTCATATACATATACATACGTTTGAGATTCTGTCGATTCCTGGAGTTTCTTGTCGAATTAGAACCTGTAAACAATTTGAAACTACATATTACAACAAAAACATTAGTCAGGCAGATAGAAGGGAAAAAACTTACCATATCGAGGGGCAATTCCATTTTATCTTCATCTTGTGCCCTGAAGGCTATAGTAAGTACATTTCTGTATGTCGGCGGCGTTAAAATATCTTGTAGGCTCCTGCCGATATGTTTTTCTTCGAATTTTGCATTAAACTCTATTACAGTTAAAAAATGTGAAATTTCTGATACATTTCTAATACGAATGATTTGCATCAATAGAAAACTTACAAAAAACTACATATAAGACATTCAACTGGTTAGCTGGGACTTTCAAGCGGCTTTTAGGTTATTGCTATTCCAAATGTGAAAAATAAGCCAAAATCTTGGAAATATCCTGGGTACTGGTCTGAAAACACGCTTTCAACAGCTCATAACTCAAGAAGAACTTGAAAAACCCTGGTAACCGTTTAAATGTCTTATATGTAGTTTTTTTTGCAAGCTTTCAAATGAAGTAAGTCATTTGTGTTAGAAATGTATTTGAAATTTCACATTTTTTAACTGTAATAGAGTTTAATACAAACTTCGAAGAAAAACGTGTCGGCAGGAGCCCACAAAAAATTTTAACGCCGCCGACATACAGTAACGTACATATTATAGCCTTCAGGGCACAAGACGAACGCAAAATGGAACTGCCCCTCGATATGGTAAGTTTTCCATAATTTTTGTTCCTCTATCTGCCTGACTACGTGCTTAAATACCTAATACATGAAAAAAATTTATATACAATGCTTATCACTAAAAACCCCTATAAACTGCAATCCAAGAACAGGCCAACTGATCGGTTCCCTCGATACCTCTTCAAAGAGCCATAGAAATAATGGAACAACTTAAAGTCCCGTACGAAAGAACAGGGTTGAATGGAATGCATCACTCTATTACGGTATGTTAAGGCAAAAATAATTTGAAATATATTTTCATTTCCGTTTTTATTTGAGCAGTTAAGCATCCGAGATTTATGACGATTTAAAACGCTTTGATAGAATATCCAAAATACAATACTAAAATACGCGAGACCGGCGAGGGGTCCAATTCGCGTAGTTGATGTAATGTACTCAGATGAATAAGACGCTTGTGATGTTAATCTGAGTGTATATCCACACGGGGGTAGGCTTGAAATTTTTTTTTCATATTTATATTATACAACTCACATTTAATAATTAGACAACTTATCTAATTGTTAAATGATTAAACGCCTTTAGCATTAGCCACTTACCAGTATTGAGCCAAATCTCTACACTCTCTATGTCAAACACCTTGGACGGGCGTTTGTCCGAACAGCAAAATGCATAGGATTTATCGTTGTAGAATCTCTGAAGGTCACTAAGCTTCCAGAAGTGCTCATGACAACGGTCTGACAGACACTGGATCTTATGATGACGAGAACATTTTCTTTCTTCTTTACCAAAGCAGCAGGTACATTTCACTTCGAGGTCATAGCTGGTCATGCTGAATAGTTGATCTGGAGATTTAAGTTCGTCCAAGCACTTTTTCAAGGTGGCTAGGAGATAACTGGCAAACTCGAAATGATTGCCACCGTTATTCGGAAAAACGACAACCTTAATGAACTCGTGGAGGTCGATTAAACAAACATCACACAAGTTGCCGTCTATAATAAGTGGAAGCAAGGAGTAGTTGCAGTAGAAGGACGGCCTGGCTTGTTTGGGGAAGCGTTCTTTCCACTCAGAAATTAACTTCACTTGAAGCTTCGTAAACAGGCCCATCGGTACAAGTTTGTGAGGAAATGTCACAAACAACGATGGAACATTGCTAGCTTCCAACTCTTTTCCTGGTATCATAGCTGGAGCAACTGAAGGGACATAAAAAGCTGCCTTTCCCTCGTGCTGGCAAGAACAAATCAAATTAAACTTTTGCATCAGCTCTTTTAAAAGTTCTGCGTCTTCCAGCTCCTGAAGATATTCTGGAAGCAACATGCCTTTCTGTCTGAACACAGAGAGAGCCTGCCTAGAGTAGGCATCCGATTCGACAGGCATGGAGATCACTTCCGTAAAGCGCTTCATTAACCAGGGAGGATCCAATACAACCTTGCTGGATCCACTGTGGTGTAAGACCACACCTTGGCGGTGTAGAAATTTGATAGCATGATCAAACTCAACGCCACAGGCCTCCGCCTTCTTCTTAGCTTCGTCAACTGGGATATACTTGCAATCTCGTGATAGCTTCCGGCTTAGAGCAACTTCAAAATTTAGCCACTTCACAGGCATTAAAATCTCCTGGTTAAGGACTGCATTCGAGTAGTCAAAAAGCTTTCTACGAAGCTTTCGCACGTCGTCTCCGTCGTCGCCTTCCAATGTATTGTCGATCAGGAAAACCCCAGGAATGACATTCTTATATTTTCCTTCATCCAAGACCTTCTTGATTCTCTTCTCTACGCTATCCATTTTCCTGCCGTTGCCTTTCACTTTATCGCTGTTAGTTAAGGCTATTAAAACTGGTGGCAGTTCAAACTTCTTACCTTTTACAGTAATACAGTGACGAGATTTATCAGGAAACTGTTGATATTGGCATTCTCCTAAACGTTGTAGAAACTTCAACCATGATGTAAAATTATCTAAATTGGTATTAAGATGAGGATTGTTCATTTCTATCTCTTCCTCATCACTTGCTTTAAACCTGGGAACGGCGGTTTTATCAAACTCCAGAGAAGCGTCGTGAACCAAAACACAAGGGCAATGCGGTTTCACAAAGCAGCCATGGGTATCGTAATAGATTGACTGTCCAGCAAAGTCACTTACAAATACCCGAAGAACGTCGTTCTGGTCGTTTTCAGTGGAACTCTGCAATTTGAATTCGGACATTTCTTCTCTTAGTGATGGCTTCACTGGCATCACTGATTCTGGCGCATCCTCTTCCAAATTCCTCTGAACTCTTGTATGAAGGTATTCGGTTCCCTGGTCGTGTTCAGTGGAGATTTCTTCTTCTGCTAATAATTCTCTTCTATTCACTGGATTCGCAAATTCTTCTAAATTCGTCTGATCTACTGTACGAATGTACTCGGCAGTTTTTTTGTATATCACAGTTTTTGCCTCACTTTCACTGGTCATAAACTTCTGCACTTCTCTCTTTTTCCAGGGATCTTCTGCATTTTGTTCTGTTAGCTCGACAACATCAACGTCAATACCAGTGGTACTGGGTTCATAGTTATTGATTGGTAATCCTGAAAGACGTTTCATCAGCGAAGTCTTTCCGCTTCGGCCTTGCCCGATCAGCATAATAGGAATTCGATTATTTTTTGCTTCACCTTCTTGGAGAGCTTGTGAATATGCACGCCTATATTCTTCCTCTTTAATATCTTGACAAAATAAAGTTAAAACAAGAATTAGGACTACGTAAAATGAAATATTACCACCATCAAATGGTCCTCTGTAAAGAGTCCCCCCCTACCAAACGCCCTGCCCTAAACGTGTAAGATATTTTTTTGAAGTTTTTAAAACAAAAATTTCGAATTATTACCTACAATTTTAGGAAGATTAATCTTTACGACCGTTACGACACATGATGCAACATCCAAAAATTTTAGTTATACACTTGACTTTAGCTTAATTCACATAAAATTGAAAGACCTTTATTGGACGTCTACTGATTGTCCATTCTTATCAAGATAAAAGCAGAAACAAAGCAAAAACCAACAGGTAAAGTCTCATTGGGCAACATGCTTAATTGTTTACGTCGCAGCTTGGAGAACTTGCATCAAATTCCTAGGCGTAGCTGCGAGTGATCTGGATTGATCAGTTGCGAGCTGCGAGAGGACCTATAATCTGATGCCAGCTGCGAACAAATTTAACCGAAGCCAATCAAACCCTAACACAACGTTATATATGTATTTTAGTGCAGAAAAAAATTGATATGAAGATTAGAACATTCCATCATTGGATATTTGATTTCATTTCATTTATCTTTAATATTCAATATTCAAAATTACTGTGAAAAATGGCTTTCAGCTATATATAGCTAGGGCTTGTATAAAATGAAATAGAATCTCCACCAAATGGTCCTCTAAAAAGCGTTCCCCGGCTATATCAAGCGCCCTGCCACCCTGCCTTAAACCATCTCTCTGTATGTTCATTGTAGATTTGTAGTTCCATAACTATTATTTTAAAAGGATTAAAGTCAAGGGGCCTCTTAGTGGAAGTCGCCTAATTTAATTTAATTTAATTTTTTTTATTTAATGAATTTATTGAGCAATCTACATACGTATACTATATCAGGTACAAAGATAAATACTTGACAAACGAAAGATAAAACACACGTCACAAATCACAAATTAGTAGATACACTCAATCGGAAAAGCACAAACGGGACACTAAAAGTCCCATGCGAGGTGCTCCCTGTAATTAGTTTGATATAGTTAATTAAATATACACACACATATATATGTTACGTACTGTTTAATAAACGAGCAGGAGTGTTCTATTAGGTTTAAAGACACGAGCGCGCGGCGCCAGTGGCTTTAAACCTAATAAAACACGACTATACAAGTTCAGTAGATATATACCGCCTTACTAGTATTCTTTATATAAAAAAATACTAATTAGGAGTGTTTTATCAGGTTTAAAGCCACTGCACGTGACATATTATAGTTGACATGATTTGCCAATAAGCTTACGAATTATTAATGAGTGTTTGAATTGTGGTATTAAGTCCTATGGCAAAGACAGTCACGAGTTAATGACCACGTACAAGCCATGTCTACGTCATAAACATTACTAATTAATGTATAGTATCTACGTTTAAGATAGTGTTTAAACGAGTTTGGATTACGGAAAATGTCAGGTGAAACTTCTTGGCACACTGTGTTCCAAATCTTTACAACACGATTGTAGTATGAAGACTGAAAAGTGTTAGTTTTACAAAGTTTACTTTGAAGCCTGTTGTTAGCCTCCTTGATAAGCCTACGGCTTTTGAGGCAAACATTTTAATAAAGTTTATATAAAAAAAAAAATTGGCCTCTTTTATTTTTTTTAGTGCAAGTCGCCTGCTGTTAATTGGCTCCCTTTATTTATTTTTTTAGCCTGAACTAAATTTTGTGTAGATGACATCATCAGGTTGTTTTCTACAAGCCACATATACAGGCCCAGTGTGCACAGATCGGACCTCCAAAATATATAATGGATGTCCATCGGACCTCCAAAATATATACACCAACACCACTTTATTCAAGAAACAGATTTCAAAAATTACTTCTGCACGCGCCCTGGAAAGGCTTTCCTTTTGCTAGAAGCCATTCATAAAGAAGCTAAAACGTAAACATTTTTCGAATGCGGATTGAATTTTTACGGAAAACGTCAATGCGGGACTCGCATATTTTAAAATCAAGAAATGTATTGAACCATCGGGAAAAGTATCAACCGTACATTTAAAATATAGTCGAATGTCCTCAGCATGATGACGGTAGAATTTAATGTCGGACTTATATATAATTTATTATATAGTAGAAAGTGAGATACTGAAAAATGCACAGTGAGATATTTTCCATTTCTTCACTAGTAAAGATATCGATCACTTCACTTTTTCCAATTTGCTTTTGAGCGTGAAATTTCATTTTTTTTTGCTTGGGACTATATAATAAACAGAACATTACACGGTGGCTTGAAGATATGACTGTTATCTTCTCGTGTTAAAAACAATATTTTACTCACTCGCTGCGCTCGTTCGTAAAATATTGTTTTCACCACTCGAAGATAAAAGTCATATCTTCGCCCGCCGTGTAATATCCTCTATATATCAGCTAATATTGGGTCTAAAATATATAAAGAAGAACCAATAGAGACACCGTCTTTCTCCTCGTAGGATGTTTAATGCAGTCGCGTGAATTCTTATTTATTCCCTTTCTTTTATCCTGTTGTTCGTTTGTCGTTACATTGCCACGGGCATGGCGGAGGGATTGGTAATCCTAAAAGACTTCTCATCAGCGAAGTCTTTCCGCCTCAGCCTTGCCCGATCAGCATAATCGGAATTAGATTATTTTTTGCTTTACCTTTTAAGCGAGCTTCTTGTCGTCTTTGCTCTTCATACTCTTGAGAAAATAAAGTTAACACAAAATTTAGCACTACGTAAAATGAAATATAACATCCACCTAATGGCCCTCTATAAAGAGTCCCCCCCCCCTACCAAACGCCCTGCCCTAAACGTGTAAGAATATTTTTTGAAGTTTTTAAAACAAAAATTTCGAATTATTACCTACTATTTTAGGAAGATTAATCTTTACGACCGTTACGACACATGATGCAACATCCAAAAATTTTAGTTATACACTTGACTTTAGCTTAATTCACATAAAATTGAAAGACCTTTATTGGACGTCTATACTGATTGTCCATTTTTATCAAGATAAAAGCAGAAACAAAGCAAAAAACAGCAGCTAAAGTCTCATTGCGCAACATGCTTAATTGTTTACTTCCCAGGTTGGAAAACTTGCATCAAATTCCTAGGCGTAGCTGCGAGTGATCTGGATTGATCAGTTGCCAGCTGCGAGAGGACCTATAATCTGATACGAGCTGCGAGCAAATTTAACCGAAGCCAATCAAACCCTAACACAACGTTAAATATGTATTTTAGTGTAGAAAAAAATTGATATGAAGATTAGAACATTCCATCATTGGATATCTGATTTCATTTAATTTATCTTTAATATTCAATATTCAAAATTACTGTGAAAAATGGCTTTCAGCTATATATAGCTAGGGCTTGTATAAAATGAAATAGAATCTCCACCAAATGGTCCTCTAAAAAGCGTTCCCCGGCTATATCAAGCGCCCTGCCACCCTGCCTTAAACCATCTCTCTGTATGTTCATTGTAGATTTGTAGTTCCATAACTATTATTTCAAAAGGATTAAAGTCACGGGACCTCTTAGTGGAAGTCGCCTAATTTAATTTAATTTAATTTTTTTTATTTAATGAATTTATTGAGCAATCTACATACGTACTATATCAGGTACAAAGATAAATACTTGACAAACGAAAGACAAAACACACGTCACAAATCACAAATTAGTAGATACACTCAATCGGAAAAGCACAATCGGGACACTAAAAGTTCCACGCGAGGTGCTCCCTGTAATTAGTTTGATATAGTTAATTAAATACACACACACATATATATATATATTACGTACTGTTTAATAAACGAGCAGGAGTGTTCTATTAGGTTTAAAGACGCGAGCGCGCGGCGCCAGTGGCTTTAAACCCAATAAAACACGACTATATACAAGTTCAGTAGATACCGCCTTATTAGTATTCTTTATATAAAAAATACTAATGAGGACACGACAACAATAGATACTGCCTTATTAATATTCTTTATATAAAAAAATACTAATTAGGAGTGTTTTATCAGGTTTAAAGCCACTGCACGTGACATATTATATAGTTGACATGATTTGCCAATAAGCTTACGAATTATTAATGAGTGTTTGAATTGTGGTATTAAGTCCTATGGCAAGGACAGTCACGAGTTAATGACCACGTACAAGCCATGTCTACGTCATAAACATTACTAATTAATGTATAGTATCTACGTTTAAGATAGTGTTTAAATGAGTTTGGATTACGGAAAATGTCAGGTGAAACTTCTTGGCACACTGTGTTCCAAATCTTTACAACACGATTGTAGTATGAAGACTGAAAAGTGTTAGTTTTACAAAGTTTACTTTGAAGCCTGTTGTTAGCCTCCTTGATAAGCCTACGGCTTTTGAGGCAAACATTTTAATAAAGTTTATATAAAAAAAAAAATTGGCCTCTTTTATTTTTTTAGTGCAAATCGCCTGCTGTTAATTGGCTCTTTTTATTTATTTTTTAGCCTGAACTAAATTTTGTGTAGATGACATCATCAGGTTGTTTTCTACAAGCCACTTATACAGGCCCAGTGTGCACAGATTAAATTACTTTTCCATCGGACCTCCAAAATATATACACCAACACCACTTTATTCAAGAAATAGATTTCAAAAATTACTTCTCCACGCGCCCTGGAAAGGCTTTCCTTTTGCTAGAAGTCATTCATAAAGAAGCTAAAACGTAAACATTTTTCGAATGCGGATTGAATTTTTACGGAAAACATCAATGCGGGACTCGCATATTTTAAAATCAAGAAATGTATTGAACTATCGGGAAAAGTATTAACCGTACATTTAAAATAAAGTCGAATTTGACGGTAGAATTTAATGTCGGACTTATATATAATTTTATTATATAGTAGAAAGTGAGATACTGAAAAATGCACAGTGAGATATTTTCCATTTCTTCACTAGTGAAGATATCGATCACGTGATTTTTTCCAATTTGCTTTTGAGCGTGAAATTTCAATTTTTTTTGCTTGGGACTATATAATAAACAGAACATTACACCATGGCTTGAAGATATGACTGTTATCTTCTCGTGTTAAAAACAATATTTTACTCACTCTCTGCGCTCGTTCGTAAAACATTGTTTTCACCACTCTAAGATAAAAGTCATATCTTCGCGCCGCCGTGTAATATATCCTCTATATATCAGCTAATATTGGGTCTAAAATATATCAAGAAGAACCAATAGAGACACCGTCTTTCTCCTCGTAGGATGTTTAATGCAGTCGTGTGAATTCTTATTTATTCCCTTTCATTTATCCTGTTGTTCGTTTGTCGTTATATTGCCACGGACATGGCGGAGGGATTGGTAATCCTAAAAGACATCTCATCAGCGAAGTCTTTCCGCCTCAGCCTTGCCCGATCAGCATAATCGGAATTAGATTATTTTTGCTTTACCTTTTAAGCGAGCTTCCTTTCTACGTCTTTGCTCTTCAAGAAGCTCTTGACAAAATAAAGTTAACACAAAATTCAGTACTATACGTAAAATGAAATATAACATTCATCAAATGACCCTCTATAAAGCGTTCCCCCCTCTACCAAACGCCCTGCCCTAAACGTGTAAGAATATTTTTTGAAGTTTTTAAAACAAAAAATTTGAATTATTACCTATTATTTTATGAGGATTAATCTTTACGACCGTTACGACCCTAAGGAAACCAGGCTTTGGGCAAAAGTTGTGTAGTGTAAATTGGTCTTCGACACATGATGCAACATGCAACAATTTTAGTTATACACTTGACTTTCCATTCACATAAAATTGAAAGACCTTCATTGGACGTCTACTGATTGTCCATTCTTAGCAGGATAAAAGCAGAAACAAAGGAAAAAACAGCAGCTAAAGTCTCATTGCGCAACATGCTTAATTGTTTACTTCCCAGGTTGGAAAACTTGTATCAAATTCCTAGGCGTAGCTGCGAGTGATCTGGATTGATCAGTTGCGAGCTGCGAGTGGACCTATAATCTGATGCGAGCTGCGAGCAAATTTAACCAAAGCCAATCAAACCCTAACACAATGTTAAATATGTATTTTAGTGTAGAAAATATTTGATATGAATATCAATGTTCATATCAATATTTAATATTCAATATTCAAAATTACTGTAAAAATGGCTTTCAGCTATATATAGCTAGGGCTTGTATAAAGTGAAATATACTCTCCACCAAATAGCCCTCTATAAAGCGTTCCCCGCCTCTACCAAGCGCCCTGCCCTAAACGTGTAAGAATTTTGCTTAAACCATCACTCTGTATGTTCATTGTAGATTTGTAGTTCCATAACTACTATTTCAAAAGGATTAAAGTCACGGGACCTCTTAGCGCAAGTCGCCTGTTGTTAATTGGCTCCTTTTATTTTTTTTATTAGCCTGAACTAAATTTTGGGTAGATGACATCATCAGGTTGTTTTGTACAAGCCACATATACAGGCCCAGTGTGCACAGATTAAAGTACTTTTCCATCAAACCTCCAAAAATATGCACCGACACCATTTTATTCAACAAATAGATTTCGAAAATTACTCCTGCACGCCCTGGAAAGGCTTTCCTTTTGCTAGAAGAAAATCACTCATAAAGAAGCTAAAACGTAAACATTTTTCGAATGTTGATCGGATTTTTACGAAAAACATCAATGCCGGACACGCATAATTTAAAATCAAGAAATGTATTGAACCATCGGGAAAAGGTATCAACCATAATTTTAAAATATGGTCGAGTGTCCTCAGCACGACAACGGTAAAATTTAATAACGCTGGACTTATATATAATTATATCAGCAAATATTGAGCATAACATATATAAAGAAGAACCAATAGAGACGTCGTCTTTCTCCTCGTAGGATGTTTAATGCAGCTGTGTGAATTCTTATTTATTCCCTTTCTTTTATCCTGTTGTTCGTTTGCCGTTATAATGTCACGGGCATGGCGGAAGGATTTAATGGTATAATCCTCAAAGACGTCCCATCAGCGAAGACTTTCCGACTCGGCCCTGCCCGATCAGCATAATCGGAATTCGATTATTTTTTGCTTTACCTTTCCCGAGAGCTTCCATATGACGTATAGCCTCGTCATTATCTTGACAAAATAAAGTTAAAACAAAATTTAGCACTACGTAAAATGAAATATAACCTCCATCAAATGACCCTCTATAAAGCGTTCCCCCACTACTAAGCGCCCTACCCTAAACGTGTAAGATATTTTTGAAGTTTTTAAAACAAAAAATACGAATTTTTGCTTACAACATCACTCTGCATGTTCATTGTAGATTTGTAGTTGCATACCTACTATTTTAAAAGGATTAAGGTTACGTGACCTCTCAGTGCAAGTTGCCTATCGTTAATTGGCCCCTTTTATTTTATTATACACTAGGAGCGGCCGAGACAGCCCGGGTCATTGCGTTTGTATGGAAAATTCCTCGGCCTAGGCACCCTAGATCTCGGATCAGTCGAGGCGGGATCTCGCTTAGGCTAGCCAGCTCGGTTCCCATATAAACGTCAAATGAACTTTAATAGGACATAACAAGAAAAGCAAGATTTCAACCAAACCAGGCTGGCTTGGGTACCCGGGCTGGCTTGCCCCATCTCTCATAAAGGCGCTGTTACACTATGCAACTTGTCTTGCAATTTTGTTGCAGCAAGCGTTGCATGAAGTAGAATCAGGTTCACCTTTTCGCAACGTTTCCTGCAACAAAAATGTTGCGAGACTTGTATGTTACACCTTGCAATTTTTTGTAATGTATGTTAGCCTTGCAATTGCGACACAAGTTGCAAGACAAGTTGCATAATGTAACAGCGCTTTAAGGGCATTTGATATGTCTTAATCTGATCATGCAGCCAATTACACAGTACAACTCAAGTTGTAAGCACGTTGCATGCAACAGTTTTAAGCCAGGTTCCAATATATGGTTGTAACGATCATATAAGATAAAGTTACGATCTTTCTCATCAGCCAGATTATAATTAGCCATTTCCCAATCGAGCAGAGGACTGGGTTTAGTTGATGTTTGGAGGGACGTTTCGAGGGACAACAAGTTATAGTGAGCGAGCTAAATATATATTAAAAGATGCCTTTTTATAATTGTTGCGTTTCAGGCTGCACAAATAACTTTAGGAATGTAGGAAAACTTCCTAGATGCCATATTCGGCATATTGTTTATTTTTTGTCCCTCCAAACAAGCGACTAGACCTAGTCCTCCGCTCGATTTGAAAAGGGTAATAGTTTTTACCTATAAACCACATTGAAATTATACATTCGGCTGTTGAGAAAGATCGTGACTCAATCTTTACGACCGTTACGACCATATGGAAACCAGGCTTTGGGCAAAAGTTGTGTAGTGTAAATTGGCCTTCAGACAGATAATGCATCACCCACAAATTTTAGTTATTTTAATAGATTTTAAATTTTAGTCACATAAAATTAAATGATCTTTATTGGACGTGTATTGGTTGTCCATTCTGAGAAAAATAAAAGCAGAACATGTTTAATTGTTTACTTCCCTTGTTGGAAAACTTGTATCAAATTCCTACGCGTAGCGAGTGATCTGGATTGATCAGTTGCGAGCCGCAAGTGAACCTATAATTAGAAAATTAAACGAGACTTACCTGTAAGGTGAAGTTTGATTGAGATTCTACGAGTTATTGGTTAGGAGCGAAGGAGTCACGTGTGAGATAGCGCGGGAAGGATCGAGCGGCAGTCTTTAAAGGGAGTGCGAATGGTCATTGATATTTAGTACCCGCTGTAAAGCCGTAGGGCTGGGTAAACCGTAGGGTGGGTTCGTGACTCCTTCGCTCCTAACCAATAACTCGTAGAATCTCAATCAAACTTCACCTTACAGGTAAGTCTCGTTTAATTTTCTAATTCTACTTCGTCATTGGTTAGTTCGCTACGGAGTCACGTGTGAGACTTTAAAGTAATGACCATGAGCACTGTAACTTTGCTTTAATAACAACAGTATCAACACGATACATGCTTAATCAACGTTAACAATTTCTAAGAGTCTATGACCAAAATTTTCTTTTTGATCACTTTCAATTGGTTTGTCATAAAATTTACTGAATGTTTTCGTGTTCGACCACCCAGCTGCGTCCATAATGGTACTAATTGGCATGTTGCCAACTTTTGCTGCAGATGTAGATGCTGATCTTGTGCTGTGAGCACCAAATACCTTAATGTCTATGCCTGCTTTAGTTAAAGTCTTTTTGATCCACTTGCCAATGGTTTCTGATGAAACTGGTTTATGTGGTTTCTGGTAACTCAAAAGTAGTTGAGAATTGTTCTTTCTTAAAGGTAGCGTCCTTGCCACATACTCTTTGAGGACATTTACTGGACATATCACTTTGTCTGCTGTAAAAACTTTGATCTCAATCTTTCCAAAGTGCTTTCCAGGTCGAGAGGTTTTTAACAGTTTATTTATATGAAAGGACCACATGTCATCACTCTTAACCATCTGTTCAATGTTCAAGACCTGTATGGTCTGGCAACGCTGTCCAGTAACAAGGGCAAGCAGCATGGTTGTCTTCATAGTCAGATCTTGTAGGGAGAGTTGTGTATTCTCACCCAAAGATTTGAGATATTTTATAACCACAGACACATCCCAGATCTGTTTATAACGTGGTAGTGCTGGTCTATTTACAAATACTCCTTGCATATATCTGGTTACCAGTGGATGGTTTCCAAATGTGAAATTGTCTATTGGTTGGACAACGCTGGATAGAGCTGAGCGTACCGTGTTTAATGTGCTATAGGATAATCCTTCCTTGTAAAATTCATGTAGAAAATCAATTGCAGTCCCTACATTTGGAGAAATGGGATTGATACTTCGTTCACAACAGTGCTGTTCCCACTTTTGTAAATAGTATTTGTACTGTTTTTGAGTCCCCGGTCTCCATGCTTGTACGATGATTGAAGCAGCTTCTTGTGAAATTCCTTGACTTTCAAGTAATCCCCCGATAAGTGGCACATCAGTAATCGCAACTTCTTTTGTAGAGGATGTGTCTTCTGAGGATGGGATGGTAACATCAGTGTTGTTTGTGTGCTAGGCAACATAAGGGGACAATTTATTAACATATTGGTTAGATATGGCCACCAGGACTGGGTCGGCCAGTGTGGAATTACTATTATGCCTGTTGCCTTCTCTTCTGATATTTTTTGTAATACTTGGTTGATAATGCAAA